ACAAATATTGATCTTATAGAGAGAATGCAAAAAAGATTTTTAAGGTACTTATCTGTATGTAAGAAAGAACAATGCATACCTTTACCTTTACATGGTGTCCTACAGGTCCATGCTTGGAACTTTTGAGTTTTCTAGCTTATATGCAAGAAGGAAAATTCAGGCTGTGATATATATCTATTAGATTTTGAACAATCACAAGTACAAAAAATGTGATCTAATTAAGTTTGTGAATTTCAAGATACTAAAGATTAGATGTAGAATTTTAACCAGAGAAATTTTTAGTGTTACAGTTAATAGTACATTGCCCATTAATAATATCCTAGCCTATTGTAATGAGATGTTAGGTAAAAATGAATTTTTTCAATTTTTTAACACGAGCCGTAAAGAAATACTGGATTTGTTGCGTCAGGACATATAGCTTTCTTTTATTCGTGTGTAATTGCTCAGTTTTATACTGTTAGTATTTCCTAGTCGAGTATCTGTATTGTTCTTTTTTTTTGTAAATCAAGCTACTTAGTTGTAAGTTTAAACCTTTGCATGTAATTACTGGAAATCAGTGTTGGTGAAGAGTAAATAAATAAATAAATAAAATAAATAAATGCATGGAAAAAATAACAGTCAAAGAACTCACTGATTCTCTACCCAGGGTTGGATGAACCCACCGGGATACCGGGAAATCCCCGGTGGGCCGATTGAAGTGTGGGCCGATCTTTAGAACAACCGGATCTTTATTAAGATACCTTCAAACCAAAGTCTAAGATCAAACGCCGGCCTCAATATTATGAAAGCACAAAGAATATAATGGTCAATTCAACTTATGACGGACTCAGGAACAACGCAACATGAAAGAAGTATGAAGTGCTAAAAATATTTTACAATTGGGCAAATAGAGGACTGGAAGCAAATGAACGTGATGTTAATTCAGGACTCATTATCCGCAATTTGTGCTCGTAAAAAAAAAGATGTCAGGGGTGTAAGCAGATGATACTCCTTCAGCTAATACTATTTTTAAATTTGAGGTGGAATAGTAAACGATGTAACCATGAATAACAAAAAAAGAAGCATCTTTAGCATAGAGATATTTGTGCTGATTTTGCATGTTTGGATCCAAACAATTTTTCTGAACTAGTGCTAGACTATGCTTTGAATAATTGAGGTAAATTACTAGGATATGATAATGGGGTTATTTTGAGGAAAGAATTAAAGGGTTTTAGAAGAGAATGGCCTGACTCAAAAAGGACGGAGTTGTATGATCTCTCTGAATCCAACGATGGAGATGAAGATGATGTAAATGACACAAGGTTCTATACAATACAATACAGTCAATGGATTAGAACTTTCCAAAAAAAAATGTGTTCATCACATTCATCACATTAAAAAAAATCCCGTGTATAATTACACGACAAAGTGGTAATCGCGTTATGTGTAAAAACTATACACCATTATTCGTAAAGTGCCGTCCAGTTAACCAACAATAATTTGGTAAACTGATATTTTACACAGTACAGTGTTGAATCAAAGTTGTATTCTGGTTCTGTGTTACTCTACACGACAATGTATAATTTTTTACCCCCCTTCCATTAAATTTACACGGTAGACGAACGTTTATACTCCCTTTTGTGTGTCGGATCAAGCCCTTCGTCCTCTACCTTCTTTTGTGTGACTGTGATCAGTTCCAAGCGTTATGAGATAGTTGATGTTCGTTTGTCGTTGTCTACAAAAAAAAATCATTTGAACCAAAAACCAAAGAATTACGCCATAGATGAACAGATTTTTTAATGCGTTTTGTATGATGGTTGGAGGAGGCGCACATTTTACGTCTATTCTGGTTGTAAATATTTGATCCGATAGCTATTTTTGTTAAGCTAAACTAATGAAGGATAAAACATTAAAATCAAATAAAATAAAAATAACTACCTATCGGAATATCAAATATTTTCAACAGAATAGTCGTAAAAATTGCGACTTTTCAAAAAATCATACAAAAAACAGGGTGTTCCATTGAAAAAACAATTCATCCATAGCGTAACTATTTGACTCAAATTATTTTTTGGTACTATGGACGTCGAACGTCGGTGGAACAGACACCCTGTACATTGACACGATTCGGTGTATTCTATTTAACACTGTTGTGATATTTAACACGCATATTCAAAAATACGTACGCCCCGAAAGTGCTGCACCGACTTCAAAACCAGTGGTGTGGCCTTATATAGCCCACTTTTCGTGTAAAATTTTGTATGATTTTTTTTACTGCGCACACTGCAAACAATGTTTGGTTTGCTGTTTCAATGTTTTGTATAAATACAAATGTTGCATCCGTGCTGGCAGTAATCTTGAAGCCTATGAACTTAAATAAAGACATCTTAGGATTGTTGACTTTCAAGAAGATTCTCATGGAATTCATGGAAATGTTTAACTTAGGAGGCCCCTATAAAAAAATAGTATATTGTGTATTTAGGTAGAAAAGTGACACATTCTCGGCCGACGGTGTAAGTTGACGGGCGAGGCGTAGCCGAGGCCGGCAAACACCGAAGGCTGAGAATGTGCTTTTCCACCGAAATAGACATACAATTTTTTCTGCGGTCGGTTAAATCTGTTAAATGGTTGTCTTTTTGTTCCAATTATTCAGCAGTACGAGAATCACTTTCCCGGCCTAGGCCGGAAAAGTGTTTCCCGAATTGTTATTCATTGATTCCCTAGCAACTATTGAAACATAATTAAAATACCAGAATCTTGAGTTTTGCGCCCTGTCAACCGGTCAAAAATGCTAACATTTCTTGTCAATCGCAGAAAAAAATATTATCATTATGATTGTTTGAAATAAATAAACCAAAGATGTAATATTAGATTTATTTTTTGATTTTTTATTCGGCTGAATGAAAATCAGCATTTATTAATTGTTTCAACACGGTTGTTATTATTAGATTCACATCTACATGTGGGGATGTGCCCCATAAATCCATCAATGTATGGACGGTTAGACTGAAATTTCCCGGACCATCTCCAAAAGTTCGTCCAACCCTGCTTCTACCAGAAAATGTTTTACCTGCGGAACAACATGGCTTTCTCCCAGGAAAATCATTAACAAACCTGCTGCTAACCAGACTAAATAAGTGGACCCTGAGCTGATGACGACAACCATGAACCAACTGATTTCATTTGCCTTTTGACTTTCAATAAGAAACGGACAAAGTTCTTACTGTATAAATTGGAACATTTTGGAGTTAGGGGTAAACTTCTGATGTTGTTAGAAGGCTTCCTCACTGAACGCACTTTCCAAGTACTTATACGTGTGGGTCCCTCACTTTCAAAGGAGCACAAAGTACACAGCCGTTTTCCTAAGAGATCAGTCCTCGGCCCGCTGCTGTTTTTAACATAAGTATTATTATATGTATAAGTTGACAAACAAGATGGACTCATACCAACCAGTAGTCGAACAAGCGGGATTCCGTAAGGGGTTTAGTACTATCGACCACCTACAGACACTTCGTACTCTTATTGAAAAAGCTACAGAGTATAACATAACACTCCATTTGCCCTTTGTCGACTACCAGTGGCCGGATCCTCGGGCCAGGGAGTAGAGCTCCCCGATAGAACGAATGTTTTGTCCTTGTCAACGTTATCGAGAAGTGAACAAGAATGATAAAGACGAAAAATTTGTTCTCTCGGGGAGCTCTACTCCCTGGCCCGAGGATCGGCCACCAGAAGGCTTTAGACTCTGTCGAAGCTTGGGATATTCTGGAATTCCTAGACAACGCAAGGATCGACTCTAGATACTCACGCCTTATCGAACAAATCTATAATAACGCTTCCATTCATGTAAAAATAGGATGATGATTTCAAAACCGACTATATTCCAATCAAAAGAGAAGTAAGGCAAGAGACACCATCTCACCAAAGTTTATACACTTGCTTTGGAGGATTTCTTCAAAAAACTTGACTGTCAAGAGAACGGGATTAATATCGATGGAATGCGTCGAAACCCTTTACTATTTGCGGACGATATTGTGGTCATTGCCAATACAGGTGAAGAGCTTAAAAATGAAAATGCAATGAGTTCATAACACTCCATATTCCGAGAACTCATTAGTCGTCAATGAGTCATCAATTACTCTAGAAGTAGAAGTGGAAATGATATCTACTTCCCAATAGTAAGAAAGAGAGTGATTTGATTTGGGGGAATAAACAAAAAAACTCTTAAATGAGCGAATTATGGGACTCATTCAGAATGAAACAACATCAGGAACAACTTTCGTTTCGTCAATCTACTCATACACCTTTTAGTTACCTACATGACACAGAATTGAAAATCAATCTACCTATATGAAAATATAAATTGATAAAAATCATACTCAAACTAGAGGAAGTGTTCCAACTAAAATAAAACAAACTCATATTAGGTATTTGTAAAATCCAGAAACGCATTATGCAAATAAAGGAAAAAATTCTCAAGCGGGCGCTTACTGAGACTCAAAAATACTTAGGACCAACCATACCAATAGAAGTTGAACATCAGGGGCCTATAAATTATTAGCGCACAAATTTTTCAGCCAAAAAATTCGCTAATTTGAGGCAGATTAAAATGCTAATGAGATATTTTTAGTCGCTCCATGGGCTTGTGGGCTTCATATGCGACTATTTATTACATAAAATAATTAAATCTAGTTTCTAATTAAGCATGATTTATTACAAGTTCAATTCTAATTAAATAAATTAGGTATGCAGAGCTTAGAAAAACAATAATTCTACCTACATAATATAATTAATGTATTCTAATATTCCTAGTCTCAAGAACTTTCATGTAAAAACGAAAGAAAAATCATCGCAAAATCAAAATTTTAAAATCATAAAAGCTTTTTGTGGCTCCATCTATAAAGTATTCAACAAACTACATTGAAAATTATATATTTGTACCATCGCATATTAAGTAGAAATCTGTATATGGTATATGCAAGCAGCAAAACTCTTGCAGAACATAAATGATGACCTCAAAGAACCGTAATCTAAAGAAAAGAGAAAGTACCCAAATTAGTACCAACATCAACAATTAATTACTAATATACAAATATCATACGATTTCTTGACTTTACTACAAAAAGTATCTCTATTTGATTTTGTGGTAGTACCTAGTGTGTGATATAATTTATAAGTACCTACCTAGCAAAAAAAAGTAGGTATCTAATTTGGTTGAGTGTGGTACTACTGGTACTCGAATAACTTAGTTAACTCTAAAAATGACGGCAGGAACTTCCAATATAAGCAACGATATAAAGAAAGAGGTAGGTAAGTTTGTCTAGTATTTTTAGGCAAACTTTAATTCCCACATACTTTTTTAAATAATCAATTTTTCTCTTCTTAACAGATATGTTATGCGGAATCCCTTTGCCAAGAATTGGAAAAAAAAGTACAAACCCTGGAAAAAAAATTGAAACAAGACGATACTAGCCAACAATCAGCCAGAAAGAAGCAAGATCTAACAACGGAATTGAAGGAAATGCAAAAATTACTAAAGAAACACACAGAGCAGTTGGAGCATTTGAGAACTCATAATTCGAAGCCATTGAAACTTGTTATGCTAGTTAGCATTGTGATTTTTATTACTTGGATGATTGTTGTTTTGATATACAATTGGGAAAAATCGAATGAGCTTCTGAAAACAGAAGGAAAAATGTAAATAATACCTAACTCGTTTCTAATATAGCTATTTATTTAAAGTAGCAATACTTGCTTTATTTTAAAAATTGGGTGATTTTGGTTGGTGTAATCCTAATAGGACTGCTTATTGAGCTCTGTCTGCCATTTCAGCCATGAACCACAACTCCGTAAAATGCATTAGCCGAGTTTAAAACAGTATATGTCAAAAAACGAATTCCTAAACGTTATAATCTTGTTAAAATCACCTTTCCTACATTTGAAATCGACGAAAAAGCAAACAAACCCTGAATCGCGAGCATCCCATCGAGGCCTGCGGGTGACGTCACCACTATAAGCTGCTATGCTGCTAATAGTGGTGACGTCACTCGCAGGCCCTGCCGACTCGAGTACATGTAATATCGATAAGGATCTCAATAGCAAGTCGCCCCCAGGTTAAGCATAACTCCAGGGTAAACATTGCAAGGACACGCTCACTCTGGAGTTAAAACCAACCCTGGAAAGACAGACTCTTGAATTTCCTATAGGTCTGTTTCTGCAGAAATCACAAACCAGTCAGAGCGAATTTCATTAGTTGAAAACAGTCAGAAACAGTCAGCAAACTAGTTTCAACCAATAAAATTCACTCTTACTGGTTTGTGATTTCTGCAGAAACAGACCTAATATTTCGACAAATTCAAGAGCCGGAAATAGACAAAAATTGAGCTGGAAAAATTGAGAAATAAAGAAAATAAATTCAAGAGCCAATAATAGAATAGATAGAAATTGAGAATAAAGCTGGGTTTATACATACAGGAAATAAAATAGTATTAAAAGTGGGAAGCCCCGGTGGCGTTTATACGCAAAAATAATAAGATGGATTAAGGGCCGGTTTCTCAATAGCAAGTCACCCCCAGGTTAAGGATAACTCCAGGGTAAACATTATTGCAACTGGGACACGCTTAGGGCCGGTTTCTCAATAGCGATGAGTCACCTCCGGGTTGGTTTTAACTCCGTAGTAAGCGTGTCCAGCTGCTATATGTTTAGCCTGGAGTTATGCTTAACCCGGGGGTGACTTGCTATTGAGAAACCTGCCCTTAGGGCCGGTTTCTCAATAGCGAATCACCCCCGAATTAAGGATAACTCCAGGCTAAACATAGCAGATAGACAATTAGACATGCTTACCCTTAGTTTAGAACCAACTCCGGAGGTGAGGTGAGTGAGGTGACTCGCTATTGAGAAACCGGCCCTAAGGGTCGGTTTCTCACAATGACAATTGGTTTCTCGATAGTTGTATTCCTTTCATTCCTATGAGGAGCTTCGGAACAGCTCCGGGGCGTTACGCGCTTATTCCTTTCGAAAAGTGCTTGTTGCACCTGAGTACTCAAGCCCGAACTTAACCATTTAAAAGCCAGCGCATCTCTTCCTTTCAAATCGGGGTAACTAACGCCAGAGCGAGTAGCTCTAGTGTTTCAAACTCTTGAAAGGAATATAGCTCATTGAGCTCATAGCGAGTAAAACGTGTCCACTTCCCTGGAGTGCGTTCGAAATCGCCCTAGGCGTGACACCGAGTGCACACCAGCCATGAATAAAGCTAGTACTCATAACAGCGAAATTCGCTTTTTTTGACATTGCTTCGACAATTTGACGTTTTATGCGTGAATCAAACGTCAAATTGTCGAAAAACGAATTTCGCTGTTATGAGTACTAGGCTTTATTCATGGCTGGTGTGCACGCCCAGGGTGATTTAGAGCGCACTCAAGAGCTGCTTTCCAGTGCCTAAATTGATATCATGCTCTGGGGTGTGACTCTCTGGAACTGTTCGACATAAGCAGCACTGGAACGCTCTCGTCTTAACCCCCATTATTTCGGACTTCAGGAGCATGGAACACCAAAATAAAGGTTGGTGTACGAGGGGGCAGGGGATAACGGAAATTAATAGTTCAAGTGTACGACACTCTAAACACAGGAACGCGTGAAGCAATTGTGGACCACTCCTGAGCTGCTCAGGAGTAACTCAGATGGGTCATTGGAAAGCAAGAAGAATACACACTCTAAACAGTGCTTATCGTCCTCGTTTTTGAAAATCGCCGCCATATTGGTGCGCCCCCATTGCCGACGTCATAACTAAGTCGTCAGCTGTTTAAAGTTTAAACAGCCTACGTCAAGGCGAGAAATAACATGCTGCCGTCACAACCAATGAACTATAGCCAAAAACTGGAATGCGCTCACATTGCCATATCTGCCAAAAAAATGAAGCCATGAAAGACAGATGCCACAAAGGGGAATGTTGTTTTTTTCTCTTGCTCGCTGACATATGACTATGACGCTTTGGAAAGTTTTGTCATATTAGTTGTATTCCTTTCACACCTAGGAGGAGCTCCGGAACAGCTCCGGGGCTTCACGCCCTTATTCCTTTCGAAAAGTATTTGTTGCATCACGCATCTGTTCCCTGCAAATCGGGGGCTACTAAACACCGGAGCGAGTAGCTCGAGTGTTTCAAACTCTTGAAAGGAATACAACTATTTACCTTCACATGTTTCATCAATTAGAATACGTGTTGGAAGCAATTCCGCCATTTAACCTAATGAGTGTGACAAAAACAGGTATCCCCTCCCAGGAGTTATGGCGCACATAGCAATGAATTATTCATGGCAGGAGTGCGTTTAGAAATGGAGTGTGAGGGTAGTTTGTCAAAGTGGTCCGACGTCATCACTTGGAGTGCACTCTGGGTGCGCTATTTCTGAACATATTGGGGCGTTGTGGTGAATGTCAACATCAAACTCGGTAAAAACCACGGGGCGTTTTTCAGCCCAGTCCCTGAGTGGGGTAAAGTGGGCGTACTCTGGGCGCGTCAACTCTCGATTTCTGAACGATTCCAGCGCTCCGAGTAAGCACTTGGTAATTTATGAACGGTTTAGAGTTACTCTAGTTCACTCTCACACCCAGAGTGCTATTTCAAAACGCAACCCTGGTGTGCACTCGGTGTGACGCCCAGGGTGATTTCGAACGCACTCGATTTCACGACGACGCGGCTTTTTTGTTGTGACTTTTGACAGATGACAGCTAGAAAAACGCTTCTTTTGGAAAATACAACCTCAACTTGATTTCTCAGTTTTTCACTTCTTAAACAAATTTCCGAATAAAAAGTGTAAAAAACTAGCCAACAATGAAGTTAGTAAGGTAAGTGCTACGTGCTAATCATTCATACACTCTCATTCGCTCAATATAATTACACAAAACCCTATTTTAAACGTTTACCGCTAAATCTAACCTCCAAACTTCTAAGCTTCTAAAAGCCCCCTTTTTCTTCTAGATTTCTAATGAAACTTTCTCACGAAACCGTTACGATGGAGTTGAAAAACGGCACCCAAGTGCACGGCACAATCACCGGCGTGGACGTGGCCATGAACACTCACTTGAAAGCAGTGAAAATGACTCCCAAAAATCGAAATCCCCTTAATCTGGATACGCTGACGGTGAGAGGTAACAATATCCGATATTACATCCTTCCGGACAGTCTTCCTTTGGAAACGCTGCTCATAGATGACACACCGAAAGCTAAAGCTAAAAAGAAGGATGCTGCTAGGGGTGCTGCCAGAGGCAGAGGACGTGGTAGAGGTAGAGGTGGTCCTAGAGGACGTGGTAGAGGTAGAGCAAGGAGATAAGTTAAGAGTTAAGGGTGCAAACGAAACAATTTTTAATGTAAGTGATTATTTGAGTGTAAATTGATCAATTAAGTACCCAAGTTTATATTTATAATCAAATTATTTTAATTTTTTCCCATGCCTACTAGATCCTAGATATTGATTTAATATTTGATATTTGAAGCTTTCAATGTAATATCATTGTTTTTTTCATATAATATTTTCTTTGTTTAATATTGATTATCAGGTACTTGTCAGTGTTTCTTGAGAACCGATAAACCTAACTTATTCTAGGACTTTTTTTTTATGAAAGAATAATTTAATAAAAATATTCAACTTGATCCATTATGGAACTGGAAAAATCCTTTTTTTCATTTTTTCCATTAAGTACTTTTAACCCCACAGTAAGTTTAAAGTTGAGAAAAATCTCAAAGAACTTTGATAAAGTAGGCATTATTGAACCTAGTTTTGCTATAATTGCCTGTAAAACTCAACTTCATACTTATTTGCTATTTGGATATTTTTATCAGGTTTTCCTACCTATTTCCATTATCTTTCTAGTTTGAGAAGCTTAACAATAACAAAGTGAGAGCTACAGCAAGGTTCACCTTCAGTTACATAGTTAATATAAACTCTCAGGATCTATTGAGTAGGTTCTTTTTATCAAACAGAACAAACTAAACTGCGAATGCATCTCGGGCTTAGAAATGGAATTATGAATTTTTTTATCACTTAAATGCAATAAAATAATGTAAAATTTCTATTAAATCACCTTTGGAAGCTTCTGAAAAATCCTTCGAGCAATCAGAGGGACTACAAACTTTTAGGATTGATTGAGTAGGATCTTTTTATCCGACAGAACAAACCGCGAATGGATCTCAGACTCAGAAATTTATTATATTTTTTATTTTTGTAGAGTAGAAAAATCGGGCTTTCCTACGATGACAAAATACACAGGGCAGTATTTTTATTTCGAAAAATCGCATGTCTGAAAAAGCAAATTTCATCGAATTTTGGGATTCGGCAATACTTACTGTGAAAACAAAAAAAACTGTAAAATAGCTATTTATTTATACATATACACTCTGTGTCTAAAGTGAACGTTGATGATCCTTCACACACATATTGCATACAATTTTTTTTCTACTACCAATAAAATATGTGTTAAAAAAAATAAATTTACAGAAATACTTTACGCACTAGTGAAATTTTACATCTTTTGAATAGTGCTTAAAGTGAGTACCTACTGTACGCATGGTAGTAGAAAAAATCATTATTCTCGCAGAACAAACCACATCTCGTTATCTTTTCTCGTTTTAGATTTAGAGATATTGACCTGCAAATTGTGTGTTTATCTAAAAAAAAAACCCTGTATATTTTTTTTTAATTTTATTTATTTTAGTTATGTTTATTAACGGACTTGCCATTTTACTAAATCTACTTATCTCAGCTCAATCCTGTTTTTCATGTGTGATACTTTTCAATATTTTTATGAATTTATTTAGATATCTTTTGTGCAGTAGTAGGTATACTATAAAAGTGTTTCATTTTAAGCTGCGGAGTTTTGCGTTTATTCTTGTATTATTGAAGATCGTAGGTTTTAGATTGAAACAAGAAAGCCATAACATAACATAAGCGAAAGTAATTTTTTTTTAACCTCATTGCATTTCACCAACTGAATACATACATATAATGATCAATTTATTTTCCTCAAAAATTTGCTGTAAAAATTGTGGTATACAGTATGTGGTGCCAACTACATAATTTGCAGGGACAGTATTGCAATCTCGGAAACCGTAAGTTACTAGGTCGGTTAAATTATAAGAAAGTTAGAATTTTTTATGCCTATTGAAAATATCATTCCATTGTTGCCAAATTGATGTGATTTGTGAAAATCAGTCAGTTTTGATGTGATTTATGAAAATCGGTAAAAACTGCTTTGTTAAATATTTAGATAACCTTTGGTTTTAGGTGGTTTTAGTAACACACTTTAAATTTGAAAATTTTGTAGTTTTTTCCGCTCTACAACGTGACATTCGACTTTAATTTATTTAATATGCACCTGGAATTTTTTGATATTTTTTTTTAAAGCGCTATTCAGTAGCTGTTTACCGATATATGCCGCTTTAGTATAAATAATCAATGTTTCTGCTCTAAAAACTCCTCATCAGTATTTTTTATAAATAAATTCCATTATTTTGATCCTTGAATCCGTAGAAACACAGCCTCCTTCATTTAACAAGCCATGAAGTTAAAAAGGCAACACCGCAATCTTACCGCCAAGTGGTGCTGGTGGTGTTTGTTTGTATAAATATATATTTTTTTATTTATTGATATGAATCACAAAAAATGCATAATTTATTCTACTAAAGGGCCAAAAACAGTAATTCAATGAATAATTTAACTATTTGTGTAAATAAGAACAGTAAATAATTGATTTAAATGAATATATTTCTAGAGTCTAAAGTGTTATGTTTCACTATGTCTTTTGAAAATCTAACTTTTTCTTTCTTCGGGATTTTTTCGGAAGGCGAGTCCATTCAAATACTTGAGCTGATTTTCGAAAATAAGAGGTTTTAAGAGTTGGACGTTTTAGTTTGATCTCTCGAACTACGCCTTTATCCTTGTTTGTTTCAAATCTAATTATTTCGGTTTCTTCAAAATGTTTACAACACACCACAGAATTTTTCGTTATTGTATAATCTCGGGTATAATTGGTGTATTGCTTTCATCCACATTTTTTGCACTTCAGAATTTTTTTGGAAATAAAAATGTTTGCACTTCTTCAGTTTTTGAGGAACTCCTAATAGTTCGATTTGCACCCAGAAACACAGTAGTTTCATGGCATCTGGAAAAAGTTTAAATATCTTAGGTAATATATCGAGACCTATGCTCTTGCAGACAAATATTAATATTGTTTTTATTGTTTTACCTTACCTTACCTTCATTTTTGCTTCTGTACCCATTTGCTAAAAATTTGCAATCAAATCACAAAGGAACAGGTATCAACTAAATATGGGCAATATATTGGTGTGTTTCTATCCACTTTTTCGTCAATAATGCCCATAAAAATACTAAATTGCAACAATACACAATGAAAGCAATACACAGAAACACATAACCCAATAACAAAATAGCACCATACGCGACGTTGCCGTCATTTCCAACTTCATGGCTTGTTAACTATAGGAGGCTGTGGTAGAAATGATTACTTAGAATTTCTTTTTTATTTTCAGGGAAAAACTTACCAAGAAGTCAATGTCGTATTATTATTGGTAAAAATGAGAATCAGAACAGAGAATCAAAGACTAATTATAATTTTTAATGTTGAACTCACTCAAGCAATAAACCAAAAAAAAAAACTGGCGGCTAACATAATAGTTAGGTTTATTGACCTTCTGATAAACTGTCAGGTATGCAATCTGATGGATAAAAACGCAATATGCAATCCCATGAGTCGGCCAGTTATCCGCCGATCAATCGAAATATGGAACAGTAAATTTATCTTGCAGATAGGGACCAGCAAGTTTATCTGACCATGAAGAAACCGGGCCTAAATAATTAAAACTAGTAAATAATTTAAAACAATCAAACTTAACAATTATTCTTTCTCAAAATGTCCAGCCGAGTGTCCAGCATTATTTTCAATGCTTTTTTGGCATCTTAAAGTCGGCTGTCCTACTGCACCTAGTAAACTTTATTTTTGAGAAAACCCCGTAAAAAATAATCTTAAGGGTTAAGACAAGGTGAACGGGGAGGCCACCTCACAGGACCACGTTCCAATCCACCTATTCAGAAAATTATTAATCCTATTGGATTTGCAACTATGAAAATACAAATTGATAATTTAATTATTCCTTTGTTAGCAACCTTCACATTATTTCTAACAAGGTGGATTCAATTTTCGGAAGAGAGTGGATGAAATCCGGTGACAGAGGTTATTTACAAATAAATCAAAATGAAACAAATATATAAAGTCAAAGGAATGAGCTAATTGATAGTTTAAAGCTTAAATTTAAAGACATATTTAAAACAGAAATAGCAGACTGGGAGCTGCGGGAATTATCAGTAAGTTAGAATATAGCGCATCAGGAATTTCAATAGTTAAAAAAGATAGATCATTAGGTTGTGTCCGGATTACAAAATTACCATTAATAAAGTAGGTACTCAAAGATGACAAATACCCAATGCCTAATGTGGAAGATAATTTTGCAAAGACAATGTTGGGTGGTAAAGTATTTACAACGTTAGAGATTTGAGAGGCATACTTACATAATAATATGTCAATGAATTTAAAAAGTGCAGAGATTCAAGCTATTACCACACCAAGAGGTGTAAATAAATAGGTTAATGCTTGGTACCAAAGTTGCTCCAGCTATATGGGAGCGATACATTTCCAAAACATAAGGAGATTTTCCAGGAGTATGTGTATTTTTAGGCGATATTAAAATTCAAGGATCAAATTCAACAGAAATTATTAATAGAGTTGAAATGGTTTTAAGGCGATCACAGGAAGCAGGATCAGAAGTTATATGACATGGAAAAATGTATCGTTACTGATTTTTTGAAAAATCAATAAAATATCTAGGGCATATTGTATCCGAAAATGGGTCGGAAAAATCCGAGGAGAAAATAGAAGCTGTCAAAAATGCTAGAAGATCTACCAATATAGGTAACTCAACTTGAAAGTTGGTTTGGAATGGTTAATTAATATGGAAAATTTCCAAAAGACATTGCAAGAAAATCTCATCCAAATTATAATTTACTACAGAAAGAAGTACCATTCCAATGGACACAAAAATGTGAAAAGTTTCTAACTGGATAAAATTGGAAATCGTTCCTCCTCAAGTTTCATGCATTTACAATCCAGATTGTCCACTTTCGTTAGCTACGGATGTTAGTCCTTAAGCTCTAGGATCATAATCCAGTAACTTTGTCCATGCGAGTGGGGGTTACCGTGAGTCAAATCCGGTACTTCTGGTGAGTTAATGATAATGATATTGGCCCAATGAATTACCCACGTATATTCGAAAATTCCTCCCCGCAATCGATAGAGCTACTTTTTCTCTACAACCATACAAAATTTCAAGTTTCCACCCCCAGCCGGGGGAGGAGGAGGGACGCAAATTGTTTTGGCTCGACAAAATTGAAAGTTCTAGGTCCCCTGAAAATTTCAACTTTTTAGTAGCTGAAACATCGCGCGCGCAGGCGTTGTTTCGAGAAAATTTAAAAAGATCTCTTTCAGAAACTGTTGCACCTACAGAGATGATTGTAGTCTTGAATTTTAGGAAATTTAGTCTACTTTAAATTTACTGGATACTTATTTCGAAAACAACGAGCCCTTCAGGGTTAAAATCGGCATTACAGTCAGATTGATGAAGGAGCGACTGCTATACACCCTGATTTACGTAGCCTGGGCGCATTTTTGTATCGAGCGTCCAGTAACCCGCATTCGGAAAACCCGACCACAGCACGTATCGAGCGCACGGTAAAACGATAATCAATCGGATTACCGTACGTTCGATACTCGCGCCTACAGATACGAATATCTTTTTGACTTTCCCTGACTCCTCACCATCAAGTCGTAGGCGTAAAGCCATTTCAGTTCTAGTCATTTACTACGTGCCATGGCAAATAGCAAAATAGTTAAAAATTAATAAGATTTTGCTATTTGCCTAGTTATTTGATGCTGTCTCTAACTGAAAACTATCCCAAACTGACCGTAAGGCTGTCCTCACCTTTCGCTCAGCTCTAGTTTGGGTTACTTTTGGTTAAAAAAACTTTCCCAAACTAACCGTAAGGCTGGAACCTTACCTTTTGCCAAGCTCTAGTTTGGGTAAGTTTGTTACTTAGAGGCAGCACGGTAAATAATTACTTACATCTGCCTGAATCCAATCTCCGCATTTGTCAAATAACGATTGTAGGTATACAAATCCCTAGCTATAAATAGCAAAATCTTGTTAATTTTTAACTGCATCAAAAATTCGATTTTAGAAACGTTTCATATCCCTATTCTTGAAAATAAGGCGCTTTTTTTGGAAAAAAAGTGTACAGATGTCATAAATAGTTATTTTCCTAACAAGTGCGCAATGTGATACTTTCCCGCACGAAAAAGAAGTTAGACGAACGACGCGAAGCGGAGTTCGGATAAGCTTTGAGTGCGGGAAAGACACTTTGTGCAAGTGTTAGGAACAATACTTTTTCTACGAGTGTTTAAGATTTTCATCCAGAGGAGCTGTATACCTAATCTTCTCAAATGTTTCCAGATGCTCAAAATTCGTAATTTTCTCTCCTAGTTCAATGTGTTGTGTTTTCAATTTTTTTTTTTCAGTGATCAGCTTGACTTTATTTGCAACATTGGTTGTGCTAACGATGTTTATTAAAATTTGAACAAGTCGTTAAGTTTGTTTTTTCTGCTAAATTTTGGTATGGAGGAGTTTAAATTACATTTCAACTTTTATGATCTGATACTCCAAAGGAATGTGAGTTGGTTGCGTGCGCAAAGTTCAACTTTGCGCACGCAAATGAGTGTGCAAAGTAATAACTTTGTGCACGCTCGTAGAAAAAATAACTAACACGCTAATTAAAAAGTTTTTGGAAAATGTGAAAGTGGCCCTCTACGGTTTTCTCGCCAGATTATGTAGATAAAACATATTCTATATTCTCTCTTATTCGCCCACCTCGACTTCTTGCTTAGTCAAAATTGGTTCGTATTACCATTGTACAAAAAGCCTTTTTATGCAATGGTATTACGAACCAATTTTAAAACTAAGCCAAGTCGAGGTAGGTACTTCTGTACTACGTACACGTATTACGTACTACGTATTTCGCTTGAATTGACAGTGTGGTATATACATATAATTGTCTGGCTACTCCATATTGAACATTAAAAAAAAACTGTTGGACGCCGATTCAGAATTTCGCAGGACTAGTATCAAGCGTGCAGTAGCTTGACAATCGATCGGGATATCAGAAGCTCGTTATGAGAGACCTCAGTTAATACGATGTTACCCGAATGCGGTATACTGGGCGCTCGATACAAAAATGCAGCCCGTGCATTAGCTATCCAGTTTGCAGGTGAATTAGTAGAAATAGCATCTAATCCACCTGCAAGCTTAAGCACGGGCTACGTAAATCACCCTGTATACTGAGGTGTCACAAAAATTCTTCAGTACCTTAACGGGCGAAAATCTAATAATTATACACACTTATTACGGATCACAAACCTTTTGCAGTTTCCTTTAGTTTCAATATCTAGCCCAGAAAAGTAATTACCGTCAATGGTTTCCACTTCTTGTCAGATTTCGATCGTCGGTTACTGTCAAACTAACATTACACAGCTATGCATTTGATCAGGTATGTTTTCAATGGATCAGTTGCTGATTTTCTCTTTGAATGAAATTCGACATTCAAATGCACTTACCATATTCTCTGTGATTCCAACAGAAAGTTGCACCCGTTAAAAACTTTTTTCATGCCTAAAAGTAATTTCTCATGTGTTTTTCCAGTGTTCGCTTAATCATTGAAAAAAATTTACAGACCAAAAAATTCAAATTAACTTGCAACAACATTTTTATTAGGTTCTTTTTAACATTTATCTTACACTAGTTAATCATAAAAGCGTACATAGTTTTATTAAAAACTAGTCCAATACATATGTACCTATATCGTAAAAAAACAAAACAAAAAAAAAACTCTCAAAATTTAAAACTAGCAAAAAACCGCTACAAAATCAGAAATCACCGCTGGAATGATATGTTTTAATATGCGCTGGCATTAAGGCGAAATACATGTTTGTTTTATGCAGTCTTTGTGCTTTGGAATTATCGAATAAATTAGAAAAATGCAAAAAATGCCCAACAATGATTACATCTAAAAATATATGTATATAGGAACATTACAATTCCACAATCTCTACTTAAATTATTATATAAAACCAATATGGCCTTTACTAATCTGCCCTAAACTAAAAAGAGACTTTTAAAAGAAGGAATAATCACTATTGAATTAAGGTTTTGTGTTTTTATAAATATTGGCCATTTTATAACAGAATAATCGGCTGTGGCCTAGCAATAACCAATTTAATAAGGCCGATGTGTCAAGTAAAGTGCTCATGATTTGTGAAACATTGCACACTCAAAAAATATTTGCCAACACTGTATTAGGTAATGTAATGTACTAGTAAACCTAACAGTAGTAATAATTACCGATGATTTTTTATTACTATTTTTGTATAATTTAAGCATTGGCCGGTCTAGTTTGGAACAACAGCTCTACAACAGAACTGTCAGCTAAAGTACTGACATCGCCCACATCCCTATCATTAACAGCTATCTTCCTCAAAATCCTCCTCATAATTTTGCCGCTGCGCGTTTTAGGTAAACCTGGAGCGTTTTGAATCACATCTGGCTGAGCGAAAGGTCCGATTCGTTCTCGAATATGAGTTTTCAGTTCTCGTAGGAGTTGATCGTCGAATATGCCAGTTTCTGTTAGCGTTATAAAACAATATAAACATTCTCCTTTGACTGGGTGCGGTTTGGCCACCACAGCTGCTTCGGCTACGCCATGGTGTTCTGTCAAAACTGATTCTACTTCTGCAGTGGACATCAGGTGACCAGATACATTTAGCATGTCATCTACACGACCTGTGACCCATAGGTATCCGTCTGCGTCTCTTTTTGCTCCTATAAAAAGAATTTGATACATTTAGACATTTGGTTCTACATTTATGGGATATCATGAAAACTATAAGAAATGATAAGGGAACATTTTATGAGAATTATTTTCAAAGAGGCTCTTGAAATGAGAAATTGATGACAGAATCTAAAAGGAAGGTCAACTTAAGTGCGAACTGGAGGAAGAGGATCCGGAACACAAAAAATAATCCATAATATTTATAGGAATAGTGTAACAATTATTTTCTGGCAAACAAGCAAACAATTTTTATACTTATTAGTTTTATCGATTTATTTGAAAGTGCCCTTTTCTCATTACCTCATACGTATTTCAAAAACGAATCGTGACCCAACCTTGTGAAGTATCTTAAAATATCTAGAGTTTTACTTAGAAAACACCCTGTATTATAAAGGAGGTAATGAAATGCATTATGAGTTCTTAATAATTCTCTTTCACATATTCTCATGAATATTTCACGACTTACCGTCGCCAGTGCAATAATATCCAGGAAATTTCGAAAAATAGGTCAGCTCGTATCGATCGTGATTGCCATATAGAGTCCTCATTAGGCCGGGCCATGGTTTGGAAAATACCAAATATCCTTCACCTTCGCCTTTAATTTCTCTACCGTTCTCGTCTAAAAGTACCGGTTCCACGCCAAAGAAGGGAAATCCCTGAAAAATTATGTCAATTAGGTAATTAATATCTTTTAATGCAATAAATCCCATACCGCTGCTCCAGGTTTCATGGGTTGTGCCCCTGGTAAGGTAGTCAGCACGTGTCCTCCAGTCTCGGTTTGCCAAAAAGTATCAACTATAGAACATTTTTCGTGACCCACCAATTTGTAGTACCACATCCACGCTTCGGGATTTATTGGTTCGCCTACCGAACCCAGCACTCTCAGACTGGACAAGTTGTGCCTGGAATAATTCAAATTGTAAATTTTGTTTAGATAATATGGCAAAAATGCAATCATTGAATTACCTTGCGACTAAATCGTCGTCGAATTTCATTAGGGACCTGATTGCTGTAGGGGCTGTGTAAAATTGCGACACCTTGTACTTGTCCACTACAGACCAGAAACGATCGTTACCTGGGAAGAATGGGGTTCCTTCAAACTGAAAAAAGGTAAGACCGGTTTAAGTAAAAAAAGGGGCACAAACTACTTCATTAGTGCAAGTTGGCAGGTTAAAATTTGAAACCTTATGAAAATATTGTCAACAACCAATTACAAAAGTATAAGAAAAATAATTCAAAATACCATTACTGTACATACTGTTACGAAATTACCTCGGGAGACCGGTCGGATTCTAAGAAATGCAATTGTCTGTGCCTTGCGTAAATAATTCGGAGAATTCTATTCAAGTAGGGCGCCAGGGTTTTCTAGATAAATCCCGAGTACACTGTCTGCTATAAATACCGCAAAGTAGTAGCTTAAGGAAGTCAGTTTTAAATCCGATATTTGTCGTGTATGTTTGGATAAGTGATAAGTGAATTTTGTATAGAGTCAAGTTTAATAAAAGTTGTGAAGTGAGTTTTAATGAACCTGGAATCCGTGACAATTTGGTGTCGGAAGTGAGATTATTAGTAAGAGAGTTGGTGCATTAATTGGAGCTATTAGCAGGATCATTCAGCAAGATAATTTGACTTCGAAAAACAAATTCACAGAGTAATTTTCTAGAACATTCCATCGTGCTCTACTTGGAAATTTGTCTTTGCTGTAGAACTTTAAATTCAAAATCAAGTTTCAAGAAAGAGGAAGACCGAAGATAGAAAGATAACTAAGAAGAAAAAGACCGGCTTGCAGCACTTTTACAACAACAACAAGAAGATCAAGAACAGAAAGAAAAAGAAGAACAAGACCCACTTGTAGAACTTTTACAACAACAAGAAGATCGAACAGAACGAGAAACTAGAAGAACATGACCGGAAAGAACATAACTCGAGAAAATTCTGGAAGTGCAAGGCAATAATTTCACAAATGCAATGGAAATAATACGTGAAGAAGTTGGGAGGGTTCATCAGAAACTTGAAAGTGTTCATCAGAATGTTGGAACTTTTGCCAAGAAATGGACACTTTTGAAAAAAAGATTGAAAAGTTGGGAATTCTATACGAGGAGAAAACATATCATTGGAATGTTTCAATGAGGAAAACGAAACTTGGTAAATCTGTATCAAACGATTGGAAAAATTATTTGCTATAAAGAAGTTTGCATGTAGGCTTCATGAAATCAACAATAAAAAAACAGAATGGCTTAGGGCCGGTCTGAGGTGCCGGTATTATAAAACTATTTTGACAGATAACTAAAACTCAACTTCTTCGAAGAAGTTAACTTTTAGTTATTCTGTCAAAATAGTTTTATGATACCTGCCCTTATTCATACAATGGGCACAAAAACCCTTCAATTACTGTACGATCTTTGTAGCTCAGATGATCCGAAAACAAAAGCCCTATACTGATCTGGTTGAATTAATATCTGATCGTTTACAACCAATGTCCAGCGTCATTGCTGAACAAAATCCTTTTTTTAAACGTATTCAAGGAGATGAAGAAAGTATTAGTATTAGAGAATATATTACAGACAAAAAAAGCAAAAATTTCGATTTCCAATGTCATAGCTGTAACACTTCAACCGTGAATGTACACTTGACATAAGTGGACTTAAAAATCCAAGATTACGGCAGGAATATGACGAAAATGAAAATAACTACAATTGTGACAATGTGAATGGTTACCAGAAATTGCCAAAAAAACGTAAAAAGAAGGAAAGCTACAAGACATTTATAATTGTTTATTGCAGGGGAAATCATCGAGAAAGAGGGGGTTTCAGGAAAAAATGTCGAGTTTTCTTTAGCCTATGAAAAATAATAGAATATTGATACCAACATAAAAAGTTTACAAAACAGAATTTTAGAAGAATCACACGAAGGCCATTTAGGAATAGTCCGAATAAAGAATCTGGCAAGATCATACGTTTGGTGGGTTGATATATTGATAAAAATATAGAGAATATTGTTAGATCTTGCTTCATCTGTCAGTTATCACGAAATCGACCTAGAAAGAAAATATTGGGAAAACAGCAAAAGTCTTTGGCAAAGATCATATATGTACAGGGTATTTGATTATATTTGGCACCATACCTACAGCCTTTACTATTTAAGATAGAAAAAAATTGTAAATACAAAACTTGACAGTTTTTTTCTATATTTTCTTTTAATGTTATCAGAAAAAACAAAATCGCATCGGAAAATGGAGAAACGTAGACAACTTCGACTTTTTTAAATGGAACACCCTGTATATTTTGTGATAAAATGAAAGACCTTTTCTTCCTGATTACAAATATATATATGTTGATCACATTTGCATGAGCCATTTTTGACATATCTCAGCTTAAATTATCACTAAATTGCAAAGAAATTTTATAAAGATAGAGATCCTTATGGAACTTCTCTGCAAATTCTTTATAATTTAACCTGAAATATGTCAAAAATTGCTCAAGCAAATGTTATCAATATATATATATATTTGGAATCAGAAAGATTAGATCTTTCATTTTATAGCATAATATACAGGGTGGTCCATTAAAAAAGTCAAAGTTGCTTACGTTTCTCCATTTTCCGATGCGATTTTGTTTTTTTTGATAACGTTATCAGAAAATTCAGAAAAAAAATGTCAAGTTTTGTATTTAAAATTTTTTTCTATCTTAAATAGTAAAGGCTGTAGGTATGGTGCCAAATATAATCAAATACCCTGTACAGGGTCTGTTCCTTATAATTAGTGCAGCTCCTACAACTTAAACAAAAGAAAATACAAAAAAAAGTTAAATACAAAAGTTGTAGGATTTTATCTCTATTATTTTTCGTAAATGTCAAAATGGGCAAATGACAGGTGTCAACTGCCATGATGACAGCACTTACATTTTTTTAAATGGAACATCCTGTATATTTTTAGCTAGGATTATAGATTTTTTTCTTCTGATTTCAAATAGGTATATCATATGTGTTGATATTTGGTTCAGCTGTTTTTGCGCTATTCCATTTTAAAATTGCATTGAACAAGCCTCATCATTGATATTAGAAACGAGGAACAGACCTAATTTAGGGTAATGTAAATGCATTTTTAAACTTGATTAGCGTAAAAACAACTGAACCAAATATCAACATATGTGATATATTTGAAATAAGGAGGAAAAAATCTATCATCCTAGCTAAAAATATTCAGGGTGTTCCATTTAAAAAAATGCAAGTACTGTCATTATGACAGTTGGCACCTGTCATTTGCCCATTTTGATATGTACGAAAGATAATATAGATAAAACCCTACAGCTCTTGTATTTAACTTTTTTTTGTATTTTCTTTTGTTTAAGTTGTAGGAGCCGCACTAATTATAAGGAACAGACCCTGTACATATAGATTCTGCAGGCTCTTTTTTGGAGAATCCTAGTTGATGCATATTCAAAATGGTTAGAAGTAATTACAATGAATCTAATTACTGCCATCTATAAAAACAAAACGTGTTTTGAGGAATATTTTTGCTGATTTGGTTTACCTCTCGTAATGTTAAGTGATAATGTTCCGACTTTCACTTCCTATTAATTTTAGATGTTTTTAAAATCAAATGGCATTGGTTCTCCGCATCAATCACCTAGACCCAGACGGTTAGAAATGCATTAACAAAAATGTCACAAGATTTTTGGGATATAAATTGCAAGCTAGCAAATGTGTTGCTACATTACAGAAAAACATCAAGTAATAGTACTGGTGCCTGGTGGTCAACCTTATGATGTTGATGTATTGATTTGATTCGTCCCACTGAGAAAACAACCGATATTCAAGATAATAGAGAATTTTTTCATCCTTCACGGTAATTTCAGGGCGGCAATGAAGTGCGGGTTCGTAACTACTAAAACGAGAAAATGGGAATTTGGTTTTAAATATTGAATTATTTAGTCTGGATCTGACATATTGACCAAATGGATGCTACAGAAGTTGATTTACAAAGAATGTCACTGAATTTCCTGGAGGGAAACATATCACTTTATACGACTAGCCACAATGAAACTATGTCAAATTCTACAAACAATTATGATCCGAGATCCCAAATACCCCAAATTATTACACCGGTGATATTGAAAACCAGATTCCGAGTTCTTCGATTAACATAAATGGTCATCCAGAAACAGAAACTTGTCTGAATTTTTTCGGAGTTAACTCATAATACACATTTGCAATTTTCAAAACATAGTTGCGTAGATCCACTTCTTGATCCTGAGAAAATACTGACTTCTCGTCCCAATTTAATTTTTTCTTCTAGGGTAACGATTTCTCAAGCGATCTTGTATTGTAATATGCCATAAGGAGCATTGCATAATATAGCGGCCTTTCGTATTGAGAATTGCTTTTCATTTTGTTGTCGTTCCTGTAATAATAGAGTGATCGATTTTACCCGCTGATCGATAATATACAGTGATGTAAAATGACGGTCATTTGCGCCATGACGTGATATGGCGGTCATGACTATGATCATAGTTCATAGTAATTATTTTAATTTGAAACACCACAACCTATACAGTGATACCCCCACAATCAGTGTTAGGTATGCGTGCAGGAACTACCAGTAATTATGTTGCAATACTTGTCTGAATATTGATATTCAATTATGAGTTGGGGAAGAACCAGTACAGTAAAAATAAAGAATGTGTTTCCCTAACAGCAATCCGGAATTCAGCGAAATTGGAGCGTTCTTACCCAAGTCCTTGCTTTTAATCACTCGCCAGCTCAGGGAAAACGTACCGGAAATAGCCAACAGCAACAGTAGTTCTTGATTGCCTTTACGTGTTCTGATTCATCAGTGTCACTACCACTCTATAAAGGAATACAATTAATTATAAATTTCAATCTCCAACCCAAGGACATTCTTACCACCAGGTCCTTTTGTGAAATTCTGAGAAAGAGGTTATTTAGAATTCCAACAAAATAAAAAAAACTCGTGAGCACGGGACAAGATGGCTATTTACTTGTTTATCAACAAAAGAAATACAACCAGTAAGGATTCATGAATATGCTTCCATTTCTATTCTTATTTTAAACACCAATTGATACCTATCGCAATTGCGTT